TCATTACCTCATGACTTGGTTTCCCCATCTGTAAAATGGGGATAATGATCCTGCCCTGCTTCTACTGACTAAAGGTGCTGTAGAAAAACTAGGGGTTATGATTTACTTTCTATGTGGTGCTGGGGAAGAGATAAGCTGAACTTATTGACACATGAAACTGATGAATTTAGCAAGATTCCAAAAGGAGAGCTAGATAGGCAAAGCCTTCCAAGTGCAGAAGTGGTCTAAACCAGTGTTTCCCAACCTTTTTTTTTTATAAAGTACCCTTTTTAAAAAAAATTATAAGTACCTCCTGTACCTACAGTTTTCAGACACACCATTTTTTTTCTACCATTGCAACACATTTGTTTAAACAGCTTAATCATAGCTGGGCAGGCAATGACATTTTTGGGTGTAAAAAGTATAAAAATAATAAAGCGCTGTAAAACTTAAAACAAAAATTCAGTTTTCTCCAAATTTCAGTTGTTTTGGCGTACCCCCCAGATGTCTCTCAAGTGCCCGTAATGGTACTCGTACAACTCGTTGAGAAACACTGGTATAAACCTACAGGCTGGAGCCGGAAATTGAGCCCTGGTCTCTGGCTGGCATGGTTGCCACTGCACCAACCTCCCCTTGCACTTTGCAGCTGCTTTACACTCACTCTGCATGGGTGCCACATCTTTGCACAAAATCAGAGCAAGCTGTGATCTGATTAAACTGTTTGACTCGCTGAAGGGTGAGAGCGTTAATAAAGTCTCTATCTGAGGTACGTTGGGTCCCATCGGCTGGATGAACAACGGATTTCTCAGTTCACTGGGGCTACTTCTACACTGCAGGCTTTTTGCGCAAGTGTAGACATAGCCTGGCAGTTTTGAAAAGAAAACCATTTCAGGTTAGGCCAAAAATGAAATTTTCTGAAATTATTGGTGAATTGCATTGACTTTGCATTGGAAGGAGGGGCTTGTTTCAAACTGAACAAAGCACTTCCTTGGAATTTGGACATTTGTAAACTTTTCTGAACTTTAAAAAATGAAATTAAGGCACAGTTTGAAGCTGACACATCAAAACATTTCCTGTTGAAAATGTCAAAACAATTTCAATGCTTTTATTTAGAATTTTTTTAAAGTTTCTTTGTGAAACTTTTGATGTCACATAATCGGCTTTAAAAAAAAAGCTTTATGCAAAAAAATTTTCCAGTTCTAGCCACCACATATTAGAACAAGAGGCCAATCCAACCCCACAGTATTCTTAGCCCATACTTGTTGCCTCAGATCAAACCAATATGCCAATCTATCCCCTAATTCCTCAGGTCAAACAGGTGGTCCATCCAATCCATTAGCTGCTGTTGAGACCTATCTTGGAAGGCACACAATCTAGCCATCTATTACCATCATATTGGGGCACCTCACAATCTTTTAATGTATATATCTTCTCAATCCACCCATAAGGTAGAAGAGTATTATCATCACCATTTTCCAGATGGGGAAACTGAGGCACAGAACAACTCAGCAACATGCCTTAGGTCACTCAGAAAGTCTGTGGGAGATCAGGAATTGAACCTGGGTTTTCCAAGTCCTACACTAATGCCATAACCACTGCATGACTGTTTGTAAAGCTCCATGCAGGTTAGTTCTGATGTGTCGTCCTTCACAAGAGGTTAAGAAAAATTGTTCAAAGCAATTTTATGGGAGGAATAGCAAAAATATCTACAGCTTGTCTTCAAAGAAACAGCAGGGGCCAAAAGAGATTGGGAAATGAGACCCTTATTTGGCAGTGTGAGATATTGAGCCATAAAGGATTTTATGTCTCATAATGGAGGAAATGGCCAAAACTAAGAGTGAGCTGGGGGAAAAAAGAGATGGGAAAGAAAAAAAAAAGAAGCATAAAATTTATAGAGGAGCAAAATGCATAATGAACTCAAGCAAAGTGAATGGTTCCTAGTGATTTAACGGGCACTAGCCCAGTAGGAGACCTTGCTGGCTCAAACCTTCCATGTAAAGGCCTTGTAAAAAATAACATCAGATGGGGTTTAACTCAGGTGAGGTGAAAGGGCCTGTGATGAGTCCCTGTAAAGCATAACCTGCGTAGAACTCACTGGCACTGTTCTCTATAGGCAGCCTGTCACGGCAGCCACACTGGGGACAAAGACACAGCCATGAGGAAGGGAGGGAGGGGAAGAGAGTAGAGGGGAAAGAGACAGACAGAGAGAGGAGTGTGTAGGGGGATGGATGGACAGGTGAGAGGAGTGTGTACAGGAAGGGAGGGGGAGAAAAAGAGGCGAGTGCATGGACATGGATGGATAGCTAGAGGGGTGTGTATGGGGATAGAGAGGGAGAGTTAAACTGCAATAGAAAGAAAAAGAAGAAGAAAGAATCCATCACAGCAAAGCCCCCTGATTAAGGTGCATGGAAACGGGCAGGTTGTGCACCCATGGGTCTGAGCCATGGGAGATGCTCCCCTCCCCTGAGTAGGCATTTAGGGCACTGGTCCCCAAATTTTTTACTTCATACTCCCCTTGCCCCTGTCATGCCCACATCCCCTCCCTGGAGCCTGGGAGCAGGACTGGGGGTCCAAGAAAGGGGGATGCAGACAGGTTAAGAGAGCCATGGCTGGGGCCACAGCTGGAGGCGGTACTGGGAGCAGGGCCTTGACTGGGAGCTGTGTGGCTTTCCCTTTCTCTCATGGGGGCTCGTCCGGGCCTCAACTGCATCCTCCTACCCCCGAACACTCCTTCCCATCCCCAGGGAGCACAACACAAAGCTGGGGACTTCTGATCTAGGCACACCCCTCCCATTGCTCTACCGATGCAATCCTCAGTCCCATTCTACTCCTCCGCATCCCTTTCCAGGCTATGTTGGGGTCCAGGCAAATAAAACCCGTCCATAAAACCAAGCGATTTACTGCACTTAATTTGATAGGCTACATAAACCATGAAATATAAACAGCAGGACATAAAAGGGCAGCCAAAGGAGGTGGCCTTGCAACAAAGTGCCCTGTGGCCTGGACACTCTCTCCTCTGCAAAGATCTTTTGCCAAGCAGCTGTGAAACTCAGAGGCTAGGTGCTAACACAGCAGGAAGGATGCTAAGGCAGGAAGATGAGTGTCTGCAATAGAGGCAGGAAACAGGAGCGCTCTGGTCCGTGACTCCATAAACTCCACCATTATCCATCACGCCACAGTGCAAGATACAATCTCAACTCTATTACAGTCCTGAGCCAATGTAGGTATTGTGCAATGTGGTAATTACCTGGGACCTACACACACATAGAAGGTGGCATACAGCTATTACACACTCTCCGAAATTCAACCATCCAGGAATTCTGCCAGGGCTGTCCTGTGGCTTGTCACACCAGAGGCCAGAGGCAATTATCACAGGGGTCCCTTCTGGCCTTACAATCTATACACATTAGGACTTTGCACTTAAGCTGGCTGCAGCCCCAGGCATCCTGTTGGGGGCCTCAATCTAACAGGTAAGGCCTCATGTGGGGAGCCAGAACACCTGGGTTCTATTCCCAGTTCAGAAAGTGGGGCAGGAGCTGCCTACTACTTTGTGTGTGCACAGTGGCTAGCACAATAGGACCAAATCTTGGCTGTTCCATAGGCTCTACTGTAATACACATGCTCACTAATTATAGTGGGTAGAGCAGCAGGGCTGGACATCAGGACTCCATGGTTCTAGTAAGATGCCCTGGAAATCGGGGGCTCTGTGTTCTATTGCTAGCTCTGAAAGGGAGGGGGGTATAGTGGTTAATGCAGGAGGATGGGATTCCGGACACCCAGATTCTCTCCCGTTATTATAGTGCTTAGGACTCTCAGTCATGAACCAGAGCTCGATTGTGTTAGGCTCCCTGTATAAATGCCATCATGCCAGTGGTTGTCGGTAAAAAGTCACCCCACAATTCACACAATTGTACTGAGGCAAACGCTGTGCACATAGCAGGGCTTAGACTGCAAGATCTTTGGGACAGGGGCTGTCTCTCGGTGTGTGTCTGGGCAATGCCTGGCACAATTCTCAGTGGGGTCTGCACAGCCCCCAGCACAGCTGGGCCCTAATCTCAGTTAGGGTCTGTGCAGCCCGTGTACAGTGGAGGTCTGTGCAGGGCCAACACTATCAGTTTGATAGACAGATCTATATCTATGCACTACCGGAACACCACTCTTAATGCGTAAATCTCAGATCCCCTGAACGACACAAATCTGCAATGCATTAGTTTCTCTGTGACACCCTTTGCTGAGAGAGAGGATGGGACGAGTGGGTGGCTGAGCGACAAGGAGAGACAAATGCATGCAGGTAGCGGGAATGTGTGCAGGGCTCTGTTATCTGCTTCTAATGTATGCAATGTTGTGGCTATATCTCTAAGGCAGCTGGAAGCTGGCATGTCAGCGTTGCCATTAGAAAGCTCTTATTAACATGGATTTATATGTCTTCTGCAGCAGATTTTGCAGCCTGACAGATGCCAGGGGAAGATTTAGTGCTGGAAGCAAAGTTGGGTGGGGGCTGCATTAGTGGTCTGGGATTTTTTAATTGGTCAAAGGGTTGTAAAAGGAAAAACACCCCCACTCCCACCCTAGATTTCATCTGGACCATGGAGAAGTTTTGTTGGGATTTTTTGCTGGGTGATTTTAGCTGGGTTCATCTATCAGCTGACTGAAATTTCATTGTGAGGTGGGGTGATCTATTGGGCAAAGCACTGGACTAGGACTCCAGACATTTGGATTCTGTTCCTGGCTCTGCCACTAACTAGCTGGTGACCTTGGGCAAGCCATTGCCTCTCTTTTTCCCTTCACGATTGGTAGTTTAGAGTCTAAGGTCTTCAGGGATTTCCTTTTGCTGTGTATCTGTGAATAGTAGATAATGGGGACCTGATCTCAGCGAGGGTCTGTGCAGAGCCTGACATGATCAATCAATCGATAGGTAGAACACCCTGTCCCCATTCCCATGCTGCCTACCACTATCACTAATCCCCCATACAGCTCCACCTCAATAACTCAGGCTCCTCCCATTTGTCTCCCATCTACAGGTCCTAAAGGCGTAACCCAGGGTCCATTCCTCACCATCCCTAGTACAATGACAACCGCCTCCACGGTGACGTCCACAGTGGTGATCACAGCATCAGCCATGGATCTGCGTGACTGGCTCATGTTGTGTTACGGCCTGGTGGCCTTCCTGAGCGAGGTGATGGCCAGCGGAGCCTCCTGCCCCTCGGTGTGCCGCTGCGACAATGGCTTCATCTACTGCAATGACCGGGGCCTGACCTCCATCCCAGCCGACATCCCCGATGACGCCACCACCCTGTACCTACAGAACAACCAGATCAACAACGCCGGCATCCCCTCCAACCTCAAGACCAAACTTAACGTCCAGGTGATCTATCTCTATGAGAATGACCTGGATGAGTTCCCCGTCAACTTGCCCCGCTCACTGCGGGAGCTACACCTCCAGGACAACAACGTGCGCACCATCGCTCGTGACTCCCTGGCCCGCATCCCCTTGCTGGAGAAGCTCCACCTGGACGACAACTCTGTCTCCACTGTCAGCATCGAGGATGACGCCTTTGCTGACAGCACCCGCCTCAAGCTGCTCTTCCTGTCCCGCAACCACCTCAGCAGCATCCCGTCTGGCCTGCCTCGCACCTTGGAGGAGCTGCGGCTAGATGACAACCGCATCTCCACCATCCCACTGCATGCCTTCAAAGGGCTGAACAGTCTGCGGCGGCTGGTGCTAGATGGGAACCTGTTGGCCAACCAGCGCATCGCTGATGACACCTTCAGCCGGCTGCAGAACCTCAGCGAGCTGTCCCTGGTGCGCAACTCTCTGGCTGCCCCTCCACTCAATCTGCCCAGCTCTCACCTGCAAAAGCTGTACCTCCAGGATAACGCCATCAGCCACATCCCCTACAACACCCTCTCCAAAATGAGGGAGCTCGAGAGGCTGGACTTGTCTAACAACAACCTCACCACTCTGCCCAAGGGCCTGTTTGATGACCTGGAGAGCCTGACCCAGTTGCTGTTGAGGAACAACCCTTGGTTCTGTGGTTGCAACCTCATGTGGCTGAGAGACTGGGTCAAGGCCCGGGCCTCAGTGGTCAACGTGAGGGGGCTGATGTGTCAAGGGCCAGATAAAGTGAGAGGTATGGCCATCAAGGACATCACCAATGAGATGGATGAGTGCTTTGAGGTGGGTTCACAGGGCAACGCAGTGGTGGCCAAGACCACCACTAGCCATGCAGCTGTCACCACCCCTCAAGGCTCCCTCTTCACCCTCAAGGCCAAGCGGCCTGGGATCCGCCTGCCAGACTCCAACATTGACTACCCCATGGCTACAGGGTCTGGCACCAAGGCCTTGGTTCTCAGCGTCAAGCCACTGACAGCTGACAGCATCCAGATTAGCTGGAAGGCCATGCTGCCTGCTGCCTCCTTCCGGCTCAGCTGGCTGCGACTGGGTCACAGCCCAGCTGTAGGCTCCATCACCGAGACCCTAGTGCAAGGGGACAAGACTGAGTACTTGCTAACAGCTCTGGAACCTAAGTCTACGTACATCATCTGCATGGTCACCATGGAGACAGGCAGCACCTATGTGGCCGATGAAACTCCGGTGTGCGCCAAAGCAGAGACAGCTGACAACTACAGCCCCACCACCACCCTCAACCGGGAGCAGAATGTTGCCCCAGTGGCTGCCCTGCCTCTGGCAGGGATCATTGGAGGTGCAGTGGCCTTAGTCTTCCTCTTCCTGGTCATGGCAGCAATTTGCTGGTATGTCCACCGGACGGGCGAGCTGCTGACACGGGAAAGAGCCTACATCAGGGGCAGCCGGAAGAAAGATGACTACGTCGAATCGGGTACCAAGAAGGACAACTCCATCCTGGAGATCCGAGGTCCTGGGCTGCAGATGCTTCCCATCAACCCACACCGAGCCAAGGAGGAATATGTAATTCACACAATATTCCCATCCAATGGCACCAGCTTATACAAAAGCACCCATACCATCGGCTATGGCACAACCCGTGGGTATAGAGACGGCGGCATTCCAGACATAGATTACACCTATACATGATGGAGAACCATCGCTCCCTCTCAACCCCCACACCATCCCATGCCGCTGCCACTTGGTGACTTACAAATCAAGGAGAAACTCTTTTCCCTAATATAAATGGCATGAGTAGCAGGCACTGGGGAGAAGAGGGGGACTATTTTGTAGAAAAACAAGGGATGGTTAAAAATTTAAAAAGACATAATTTATATTTAATATTCCAGATTTCAAATGAACAACATGTGCTCATGGATCGAGGAGAAAAAAGCTACCTGTTCATATCTTTCCTCTTGTGTAAAGCTATTTTCGTTTTCAGGAGTTAGGTTATAAAAAAAAAATCAACACATAATTGTCATTTCTGACTGCTGACCATTGATGGTTCAGCCAGCCCTGCTGCAGATGAGAGAGGAGGAGGATTTTATGCCCATTTAATGGGATCTACTTCCAACACTTTCCTGGTTTTATTCCCATAACTGGTTTCTTGGTTTTAATTTTTATGCCACTTTTATTGACTGTTTCATTAAGAGCGAACGGATTTGGATCGCCTCCCTCTCCCAAAGCTGGAGGGGAAATGGGAAAATATTCCATATAGCAGCATAGTTCATGGGCGCGGACAATTGAAATGGACCCCTTGGTTAACTCCAGACATTTCAACTAGAAACATTATCTAATTTAATTCATAGCTTTGTCCATAGCAAAAAAAAAAATCTATCTATCTATATATGTGTGTGTGAGTGTGTGTACACACACACACACACATACACACTTCCTCATCATCATTTTCTTCCAGACAGTTGGGGTGATGGCTTCTAGGGGATAAGATGCAGGATGCTGATGTCCAAATGTATCTCAGGTTCCATTGGGTCATGTATATTTGGGGGAAGAAGTGGATTAATTCAGGTTCCAGCAGAATAGGCTTTGGTGGAAGACTCTGCCTTTTGGGCCAGCTGGGGGGAGGCTAGAAAAAACCCAGTCTAGGTCACTACTGCTTTGGGAGAATCCTGTGGAAATAGTTAACATTCCTTGAAACAAAACCACAAAGTTACTTTCTTTTTAGAAGGAGCACCAGGCAGGTTTGCTCAGGAAGCTACAAAGATATATAAGGAGCCCCAATTAACCCTCATCTCTCTTCCTTGGAAAACTCTGCTTTGACTGTTAACTCTCTTCTTCTTTTATTATCATTCAATGGTTTTAAAATCACACCCAGACCTGAAATCAAGACAGGAGTGATTGGGAACAATTCCCTGGGCTTGGACCTAAATGTTTTAGGAAACGTGTGAGACACTCAGCCTTGTGCAGAGAGAGGTCAAGCACAAGGTCACGGTGCTACACTCCAGCAGGGGTAGAAAAAAGGAGTCCTATTTCCCAGTGTTTCCCAGTTCTAACCACTAGACCCCACTCTCTCAGGTGCACAGGCCTAGCACTGGGCTGGAGCACAGGCATAAGGATACCGCTGCAGTGCCACTGTGCTCCCGAGAGGCTGTATCTCAGGGCAGAGTTTGTGGAAGGTGCATGGTAATGCTCTGGTGCAAACTACAGAATGTGGGCCTTTGTCACTAGCAGTAGAACTGCCAGATCTCAGAGGCTCATAGGGTCATCATAGACTTGACACAGGATCTGAAGTCCCTGGGGGTATGTCTACACTACCACCCTAGTTCGAACTAGGGTGGTAGTGTAGACATACCCTGGAAGAGGCCAGGGGGAGTAAGTGGGAGAGCTGTACCAGGCCAGCCTAGGCAGGAAAACTTACTTGCCCTCCCCAAAAACATGCACACAGAGAAACACACATACAGAGCCATTCTTGCACACATGCACAGAGGGTCTGTCTGTCTCTCTTTCATAGGGTGCATCTACACAGCACCCTACATTTTAAATAAGATACACAATTTGCGCTAATATCTAACTCTCCCTTGCTGCAGATTAAGCCCCTTACTTCTTGTCCTGCCATCAATGGACATAGAGAACAATTGATCCCCATTCTCTTTATAACAGCTTCAGAGGGGTCTGTACAGGATAAACTTAAAAAACAACAAATAATCTGGTAGCACTTTAAAGACTAACAGAACACGTGGCTGTGCTCATGAAAGCTCATGATACCATCTACATCGGGGGTTCCCAACCTTTTTTGGCCCCCATGCCTCCTTGGCTTTTAGTAACCTTCCCGTACCCCCTATTCAATATGAAAGGAAATTAATTCTAGACTCTAGAATCTACAACTTCTTTCACTAACACTACTACTTTTGGAATATTTCAATTAGGATAATCTAGTTATTTATCAAATATTCCCCGTACCCTCTTGACAAGCTTCTCGTACCCCATAAGGGTACGCATACCCCAGGTTGGGAACCCCGATCTACATATTCTGTTAGTCTTCAAAGTGCTACCAGACTATTTGTTGCTCTTTATAATAGCCTTTACATATTGGAAGACTGTCATCAGGTTCCCTATCAGTCATGTTTTCTCAAGACTAAACATACCCAGTGGTTTTAACTTTTCCTCATAGCAGTGTTCCCTCTAATTTCTTCCAGCCGTGGGTGGATTAAATTTTGTTATTTGCACCAAGGCATGTGCAGATGTGCACCACCAGGAGAAACACATGCTAAACAGCTGGGCTGCACCTAAATCTCTCTGGGTGGCTGCCCAAACACTCATCTTACAGGGAACACTGCTCACAGGTCAGGCTCGCTAAAGCTTTCATCATGTTTGTTGCTCTCCCCTGGACTCTGTCCAGTTTGTCCACTTCTTCCTAAAGTGTGGTGCCCAGAAGTGGACCCAGTTCTCCAGCTGAGGCGAGTGTGACACCTATCTTCAGTGTCTTAGTTATAACACAATGATCTTATCCTTTTCTGCAACTGCATCACATAGTGGATTCTAATTCATATTTGTGATTCCCTATAATCTCCAGATCCTTTTCAGCAGAATGATCGCCTAAGCAGTTCTCCCCCATTTTGTAGCTGTGCATTTCATTTTTCCCTCCCTTGCATTTGTCTTTAGTGAACTTCATCTAAGATCAGCTCTCCAATTTGTCAAAGTCATAAAGTGCTTTCAACCTCTCCCAGCTTGATGTCATCCACACATTTTATAAGCATATTTTCCACTCTGCTAGCCAGGTCATTAATGAATAGTACTAGACCCAGGATAGATTCCTGCAGGACCTCACTAGATACATCCTCCCAGTTTGACAGCATAACCTTTAATTACTCTTTGAATACAGTTCTTCAACAAGTTTTGCACTCACCTTAACGTAAGTTCATCTAGACCACATTTTCCTAGTTAGTGTCATGGGGGCTGCCTCAAAAGCCTAACATCAAGATATATCATGCCTACTGCTTCCCTCCTATCCACTAGGCCAGTAATCCAATGAAAGAAGGAAATTAGGGTGGTTTGGCATGATTTATTCTTGACTAATTCATGTTGGCTATTACTTAGAACCCTCTTATCCTCTAGTTGCTTATAAACTGATTGCATAATAATTTGTGATTATTTCATACACACACATACACAGTTGCAAATCCTTGATTCTGGAGAATAAATGTAGATATCTGGGAATAAATGTAGTTATCTGACTGATTAGAGAGCCAGCAATAAATATCTGATTAGCAATAGCTGTAAAAGGCACTCTCTCCTTGCTGGTGGCTCTCCTGGAGCTTTCATCCTCCAATAGCTAAAACAATCCCTCATAAAACACTTTTACCTGCTTATGACAAAACAACAGACACTGAAGCTAAACAAATTCTAGAGCTGACACCTCACAAAGATACAGAATAAAACTCCCCCATCTTCCAGCCCCAAGAGAGGAAAAATAATTCCAACTGAGGGAAGTGGCTTAAAGATTTGATTCTGCATTGTCCTGTGTCTTGTTTTGTCACTTATCCTAGTGCAAAGTGAGCTGCTGTTTTGATGAGGATGGCTTTTCACACCCACTTTACACAGACATAAAGGACTGACACCCTGCCACAGAGTGATGTCTCCTGCATTTAGACCTGATTAGCAAAGCATTAGAGCACATGGCAGACAAGTCCCCAGTGGGTGCATTTTCACTGGGAAAAAAGATGCATTTGCTAACATGAGCTACTATTCTAAGCTACGTCTACACCGCACAATTATTTCAGAATAAACTATTCCAGAAGAAATACTCCAAAATAGCTTATTTCGATATAGCGCATCTACACTACAGGGAAGCCTGGAAATTAGTCTGAGGCAGGCTCCCCTAATGTGGACATGCTGCCTCGGTTTAGAGCCCCAGGAAGCACTGGGGAGTAATTATTTGAATGGCCTAGGGGAGGAGCTATTTTGAATTTGCAGCGAAGCATCCACACTACTGCTATTCTGAGACAGCTATTTTGGAAGCGCATTATTCCTTGTGGAATGAGAGATACAAACACCAAAATAAGCTGCCCGTTATTTTGAAATTATTTCAAAATAATGGGCTAGCTGTGTAGATGCTCACACAGTTATTTTGAAATAACACACATTATTCCGCAATAATACTGCTGAGTAGACAAACCCTTAGTGAAGACAAAGCAGTCTGTAGTTTTAACACAGATTAGTAGGTTGAAGTAAAAACTAGCGGGGAGCCCTGACCAAGATCAAAGATCATCCTGGGCATTGCACAGATACATAACTAAAGACAGTGCCTGCCCCCAAGAGCTTACATCTAAACAAAAAGTGGGGGGAGGGGAAACAGGAGCAGAGAGAGGGGAAGTGATATTCCCAAAGTCACACGGCAGGTCGGTGGCATAGGTGGGAATAGAACCAGGTGTCCTAAATCCTAATCCTTTGCTTCATCTATTAGAACATGCTACTTTCCTAGAAATAAACTACTTTGGATTATATATCAATAGTTTAGTTAAATTGCAGCAAACTATGTGAACACACTTATATCAGTTTCAAACTGGTTTATATTGGTTTAACTTGTGCCTGCAAATCATCAAGTATATGGGAAGGTGCATTGTATCAGCATAATTTATGAATGGACATTCTTACTTTGATTTGAACCTGGTTTATACTAATCCTGTATACAGCACTGCAAAGACTGA